AGTAGTCTTTTAATGTTTATTTTGTTGTTATTATAAAAGATGGAGTACAGGAACTCTTGGATGTATGGTTCGTTAAGGTTCAAGGCAGGTTTCCGTGAAGAGGTGGATAAATTTATTAAAGCCACAGAGAAGCATGCAACGACGTTGACAGAGAATAAGGATACAATTATTTGTCCCTGTAAAGATTGCAAGAACCGTATGGCATGAACAGATATGACTATCATCAGATCATATTTGATTATGCGAGGATTTGTTGAGGACTACAAAGTGTGGATTCATCATGGTGAAACGGTTATTGTTAACGATGATGATGAGGAGGAATACGACGATGAAACCCTAGAATCCCTGTCCCAATATTCAGCAGAGCTTGATGCACGAATGGATCCCGAGTTTGGCAATGAACAAGGTTGTGATGCTGGTGGTTGGGATGGTAACGACGAAGGTGGTGCCAATAATATTGGCAGAGCACGTGTCGGGAATGAAGCTGATTTGGAGGACATGATTCGAGACCTTGGGCTAGAGATTTTACTAAAGAGCCCGAAAGGTTTAGAAAATTTGGAAAGGGTGACAAAAGTATCGAAGAAGACTGTATATGGTGTTGAAAAGGGCTGTCCGACACATTGAACATTGCTACGTTTTGTGCTTGAGCTACTCATCCTAAAGGCTAAGTACGGCTGGTCAGACTGTAGTTTCAATGATCTATTGCGTCTCCTGTCATGGGTGCTGCCACAACCAAACTCAGTTCCCGCCAACACATACCAAGCGAAGAAGGTCATAAGTCCATTGACAATGGGGGTTAAAAAAATCCATGCATGCCCCAACCACTGTATCCTTTTTCGTGGCGAAACGTTCAAGTTACTGGATAAATGTCCCCGGTGTGGGGCCAGCCGATTCAAGAACAATGACCTTTACGGTGGGGACGAAGCCTCCATGAGAAAAAGAGGAATAAGAAGGGTATAAAAAACATGGTACAAGAATCTCAGCCCCCAGAGGACACTCCATTAGGCAACGATGCAAAGTAGAGAAGAATTCCTACCTTGGTAATATGGTACCGGCCAGTGACCGACCGCTTGAGACGTATCTTCCTAAACCCTTAAGAAGCCGCACTCATGACATGATGGGATGATGAGCGCAAGGTGGATGATGATAAGATTGCACACCCGGCTGATTGTAGTAAGTGGCAAAGGATCGATGAGAAACCCAAAGAATTCAACGATGGCCCAAGGAATGTACGGTTTGGCTTGAGCACTGATGGAATGAATCCCTTCAAGGAGAGGATGAGCAACCACAACACTTGGCTAGTGATCTTGACCATGTACAACATCCCAACGTGGTTGTGTCAGAAGAGAAAGTACCTTCTTCTCACTATTCTTATTTCTGGCCCTAAACAACTAGGCATTGATATAGACGTGTTCCTCGAGCCTTTGATGCAAGAAATGGAGAGGCTATGGAGGCATGGGGAGCCGATGTACGATGCATTCCGAAAGGAGGACTTCATATGTAGAGCAATAATATTTGTTACGGCCAATGATTACGCCGTGCTGTTTGCTTTGTCTGGACAGATCAAAGGGAAGACGGGATGCTTAGTTTGCTTAGATGGTACTACATAGGTGTTTCTGGATGCATCCAAGAAGATAGTTTACCTAAGGAACCGACGCTTCTTAAAGACAAGTCACAAGTACAACAGCAAATTGTTCTTTAGATTTTATGACAACACCCTAGAGATTGAACCCCCTCCGGAGAGACGTCATAACGGAGAAATTGTCCAAGTCCATACATTATATGGAATATGAGCTGATAATCAAGAACTTGTGATGAATTTGGCATCATTAGCAGCCGCCCCTACATTACCTTCTCCTCTCTTCTCTGTTATGATGCCTTGATGCTTCAAGTTCATGATCAAATGATGATTGACATGTTTCTGAGGCCTCTACTACTGCTACTACTCATTTTTTGATATATTATTGTTTTATAGGACTACTTTGGTTTATAGACCTTTTTAATTTCTTATACCTTCTCGCGTACCTAAAGCACACTTTCTTGCATCTATTAAAACAAAGCGTTGTCTTTGATTGGTGAGCTGGTGTGAGTAGTGAGCTATAAGTTATTACTTAATAGCGTAAATATATAAATAATGGATTGTTGTGTCTTCATGTCAAGAACTGGCTCCTTAGTATTTTCTTATCTGTTGTAGAACTGCTAAGCAAGTTAGAGAACCTTTTGCCCTTTTCTTTTTCCAGTTCATCATTATGAAGCGAACCTTCTATTAAAAACGAAATTTGGGGATGAACTAATAATGGTGATCATCTTGTTTGTGCGGGAGTTAAATAGAAAATTAGGCAAATGGTGTTTGTCTCTCTTCAGAGAATTGATAGTTTGATACTGTCACCTGGTTAGATATGTTAGTAGAAAAATTATTAGTCTGTTGGTGATGGTGTTTGGACTTTAGATGAGGCTTTCCATGAGTTGCCAATGCTGATGCTGTTTTATAGACCATCCTCTCCTAGTCCTACTACTTCTACTCTTCTCCTCTCCTATCCTCTGCTTCTACTTCTTTTACTCCTCTCCTCTCCTGTTCCTCCACTATAACTGTTTTCCTTGACATAAATTTAGGAGAAGATATGACCGAACTTCCTTCGCCGGATCTGTCAAATAATTATATGTATGATCTGGGTTTCCAACCAGCATTGGGGAGGGCAAACCACCCATATCAAGCATAGTAAGTAACATGTTTAAAGACACCTCTATAGATATTTTGTTCTGATATATATAATTCTTAAATGTAGATAATTCATCCTATACCATGGTTCAGAGAGACACTCTCAAATTTCAGGGTTGATTTCCTCAATATTGATACATTCCCTATAGATGGTCGAATCAAGCAATGTCGAATTGGCTTTTCTATTCTCGTTAGGGCGGGTAACCAACAATGTATGGTTTTATATATCGATAGGACAAGCAGCGACCTCATGACATTACTGCGCAAAAATATGCTGTGCAAGCATGTTTAAGGGCGCTTCAAAATATTGGGTACAATATTTCTACATACTCCTCCATGAGGATTGCTGCATTGAATGTGGGCCTCCACCACGATATTGGACTGTTTTGTGCAAAGCTTACTGAGGACAGTATGAATGATGTGATCAGTCTCATAACTTATATCTAGATTAATTGTTATGTCTATATATATGCATGGTTCTGATAACCATATTTTTCCCAACACTTGCAGATTCAGGAGAACTACGTAACATACACAAGTTGTAGCTTTAAAGCCATTTTAAACCAGGTCATGTATCACTTGGGTCGTTATAAATGAGAATATAGTGGCCCTGTTCTCACTTCAGAGGGAATTCAGGTAAAAATTCTTGTGACTAGGAGTGAAGGTTCTCGACTAATGCTGATCGTCATCAGTAGACCTTGTGAACGATCTTGTGAAGTAAGAGAGAGTACACTAGTAAATACATTGCGCTACATCAATAATATTTTGGCATATAAAATGAATGATCTGCACTTCTCCGAGTACGTGGTTCGATGTTAGAAAATTCTAGGAAGTTAAATTACTGTTAGTTGTAATAATGAACTGATCTAAATTATTATGGTCTGTAATGAACAAATTTAAATTATTATGTGTTTGTAATGAAGTAATTTAAATTATTATGAGTTTATAATGTATATATCTTCTTGTCAATTAGTTGTTGATATAATGTCCTTATGAATATATATATATATATATATATATATATTTCGGTCATATTTAAATTTTTAAATTTTAATTTTTTTTGTGTGAAAATATACTGTAGGGGCGGTTCTAAATTGATCCGCCTCTACAAACAGGTATTATAGGGAAGGTTAGTGCTACAGCCATCTCTACAAATCAATTTTGTAGAGGGGGCTGGTGTTAACAGCCACCCCTACAAATTGACTTGTAGAAACGGTCTAGAAACAACTCCTACAAATCAGCGATTTGTAGCCATGCTTTCGTATGGGCGGCTTGGCTAGCCGCCCCTGCAAATGCCCGTTAACCGTTCCTAGGAAGCATTTCTGACGTAGTGTGCCGCACACAGTGCCTGGTGCGACAAGGACTGGACGTTCGATACGTGGAACCAGGCAATTTCCCGTACGCAGATCGGAACCACGCGCTTTCCCATACGCAGATCGTGTCTCTTGTAACCTGCGGGAACCATCGAGGAGAACTGACTGCGTATACAAGCGGAGCGGCATGCCTGCATCGGGTGTTTTTTATTCGGGTTTGGGACATGCGGCAGCCATCCGGCCAGTGTCACACGAGACAACGGTGAGGCAGTGCCCCTACAACATCGATCTGTGGCCAAGCGAGCGAGGGCGCAGGCGGCGGATCTGCATGACAGCAGGCAAGTATCAGCCCGGCGGTCCTGCTCTCTCCAGGCGGTGGATGATGCGGCGGACGGGCGCAACCAGGTTGTTTTTAAAATTTTAAATCGTTTTTAGTGCCGGTTTGAAACCAACAATAGTCAAGATGAGCATCACTATCCACTCTCAATATCGAAGCGCGAAACCGGTGGTGAGGGAGGTTTCGAGCTGAAGATGCTGCTGCTCCTGTAGCAGCGATTGTTATTGGCATGAGTAATAACACGTTGAAAACGTGACCAGTCCGTCCATTCTCAAGTGTAGCGGTAACGTGCCGTTACCGAGCAGATGTATTTAGGGCGTGTTTAGATCCAAAATTTTTTGGGTTTCGGCTACTGTAGCACTTTCGTTTGTATTTAGTAAATAGTGTCTAATTATGGACTAATTAGGTTCAAAAGTTTCGTCTCGCGATTTCTCATCTAACTGTGCAATTTTTTTTTTCCGTCTACATTTAGTACTCCATGCATGTGCCGCAAGATTTGATGTGACGGTTACTATGCAAAATTTTTTGGGAACTAAACGGGGCCTTATTCCTCGCTTTGCGCAAATGGTCGTTGGTGTCTTCTGCAAATAAGGTTTCACACAGTCACACAGACGCAATCACTAGCGATAAGCTAGCTAGCTTTGCTAAAATGGAGAGGCGGGCGCAGGCTGAGCTCAGCCTCCTTCCCGCTGACTCGGATCCGGAGCCGCTCGGCTTCTTCCGCTGCACGTACTGCGACCGCAAGTTTTACAGCTCGCAGGCGCTCAGCGGCCACCAGAACGCGCACAAGTACGAGCGCACCCTCGCCAAGCGTCGCTGAGAGATCGCTGCCGTAATCCGCACGCACAGGGCGCCTGCGGTGGCCGGCTGGGCCGTCGACGCCGCCACGAGGACCAGCTGCGTTGGGCTTGTCAACGTCGCTGCTGGAGGTGACCCTGACGGAGAGAGGCTGCGGGAAGTGCAGCAAGCCGTTCTGGCGCCAGAGCAATCGTCTCGCCTGCTGCTGCGCGACAAGAAGAGCACGTCGTCGGAGTACGGCGTCGAGCGCCCCGGCGAGCTGGACTTAACCTCAGGCTATGATGTGGGTTGTTTCTCAAGCACCTAGTTTCTCGCTTGCTTGATTCCGATCTCTGTATTGCTACATCCAGTGGCGGAGCCAGGATTTATAGTCAGGGGGGGCCGGCCGTCAGGAATTATACTTAGGGGGGGTCGGCTCGGTCTTTTTCATTGCGATAATTTTATTATCTAGTTGTGTTTTGTATGATTATATTATCTAGAAGATATTAATAGGTATATATGACAAGAATTTTATATAATTTTCCTCTTAATATAAATAAAAAATATTAAATTATACTACTAATTTTTTGTTGTTGTCAAACATTGGAGGGGGCCATGGCCCCTGCCAGCCCCCCTGGCTCCGCCAGTGGCTACATCAAGTATGTTCTTCAATGATTACAATGTACAGTAAGCTGTTTCGTAGATTCAGCGGTGTCTCCTTGTGGGGATATAGCCCATATCTATAAGACAAGATATGGGCAGCACTATCAAATGTGGCCCAGCTCATAAGATCAAGGTGTACGGCGCACGGTACTGGTCGACGTGCACTGTAAGGCTACAAGAAGATGTGATTTATTAGATACCAAGGTCCAGTTTAGTTCCAAAAAATTTTGCCAAATTTTTCAGATTCCCCGTCACATCGAATCTTTGGACGCATGCATGAAGCATTAAATATAAATAAAAAATAAAATTAATTACACAGTTTAGACGAAATTCACGAGACGAATCTTTTAAGCCTAATTAGACTATGATTGGACACTAATTGTCAAATAACAACAAAAAATGCTACAGTGCATTTTGCAAAAAATTTCGCCATCTAAACATGCCCCAAATATGGTACTTTCTCAGTAACCCTACCCCTCGAAAGCATATAAGGAGGGGTAGGGGTCCCCTAGTCGGCATGCCCCATCCCATACAGATCCTAGGTTTAGTCTAAGCCATCTCAAAACACACGCAACATCATACGATAGCCGATACAAACCAACAGATCATATGAGTATGATATTACGTCGTGTTGATGGCCCGAACCTGTCTAACTCTTGTGTCTCTATTGCCTTTTTTTCTTAATTACGCGCACCACTGCCGATCAATCTATCTTCATGGATACCTCTCGGAGAACTGCTAACAATATTCTATCGACAGTTGGCGCGTCAGATAGAGATTACACGCTGTTTTCATGACGAACAAGACGACGTACCTGAAGATCAACATCACGTTCTCGGCGGGATCGACCTTCGATTTTGTACGAGAACTTCCTCATCGTCATCATCTGCGGTGATTCGGCTTCTCGTGCGCTTCAATCTGCAGAGAGCCAGGCCTAGGTGCAACCGCCTCGCCCTACTCGATGAAGCACTTCGACGGATTGTTGGCAGCATCGTCGACAAGCACCATGATTAGATGGAGCCTGACTCCGTCACGTGGGCAGTCTGCCCCGACCGACTCTGACTCTCCAAGAGGTGGGGCCTGCGAGCGCCGTGCGGGACTCGACTAAGGCCTGGTTTAAATTGTGGTTAGGAATCAGTATTTAGCATGATAGCACTTTTGTTTGTATTTGATAATTATTATTTAATTATGGCCTAACTAGGCTTAAAAGATTCGTCTCGTAATTTACAATCAAACTGTGTAATTAGTTATTTTTTTATCTACATTTAATACTTCATGCATGTGTCAAAAGACTTAATGTGATGAAGAGAGAATGAAAAAACTTACAATCTAAACGAGGCCTAATCTTAATTCCGGCCACTTCCCGTACGAGCAGCGCCCTACCCGGCCACCGCCAGCTGTGTGCACCGCATCTGCTGCATCTTGCGTCACCAGGAGTCTCTCGAACGCAAGGATATGGACAAGCACGTACATGACTCCGTGCGTCTTACACAACCAGGCGAGCAACCAACATGCTAATTGTGCCTGTACGTGCACGTTCATACATCACGCATGCACAAGATGGCTTCCTTCGTTGGCAACGCATCGCTTTCTACGACATGGGATCGACTACGCCAGTTCGACTATGATTCCGCGTACTCGTTCAACTACATCAACTCGTCCGACTGCATCAAGCCGCCCGAGTCACCGAGCGAGCTGTATAAGAACGATGACCGCCGCAAAGAACGACCCTATGACAACTGCGACCACCACCAGGACGATAGGCCGGAAAACTCGAGGGCCGGACAATTTCGTCAACACTGACCAGATAACGCCATATACCGCCGACCAGGCGTTCTATCTAAAGCTAAGTCACGCTTTATTACTTTTCTAAATATTTCATATATCTCACAATGTTTCTCCGAGCTGTTTTCTCCATGTTTGCTCTCCAAACGATTTTCTTTCATGTATACCATCTTAAAGATGACATACAACTAAGTCTAAGACAAATCTCTGAATAGTCATGTTGATGCTCGGATGTTCCCAAAGACGGTCCTATCTTTGGATTCTTCCTACACGTGCACGAGCGCCTGCCCTCTGTGTTAGGGGTGGTCGGCAGCGCCTCCTTAGCGACACCCTACTCTTCCTACACGCACACGGGCCCCACGCTCCGCGTTATGGTTAACAGGCTAGCTAGGGCTGGAGACTCAGCTACACACTAACTGGTCGAACAGTTTATATTAAATATAAATAAATCCTCAGAATAACACTAAGTGTTCACACCGACTCATCGCCGAGCTGCATACGCTATTTCATCACCATTGAGTTCATATATTTTATTTTTACATCATATACTACCTATTTTACACATTTGTTTCGTAGGGGGACGGCTCGGTCAACGAGCTTTAACTCAGGACTGGATAAGATGATCATCGTTCGGGTGGTCGGACCACCTATCAGACGGACTTCATCGCCAAACAACCGGTCAGACTGCTCGGCGCTCACTCTTGCTCGGCGTTCACTTCATCATCGACCAGTTGGTTGGACTGCTCATCGCATGGGCTTCATCGTCAGCTACACTGATGCTCGTTAGCTACGCTGGGACTCTTCGTGTTCGGATTCTTCGTGCAAGCGTCACCAGCTAAGCTGGGGACTCCCTTGGTGGTCGGATCTTGCTATGTCTCATCGGTGTGCTATCAAGCTGCTCCATACTGTTCAGATTAGGGTACTGATCTTGGGCAGCACGTCTGAGATCTTGATACATGCATGTCAGATGATGCCGGCAAGCTTTCAGACTTCTTTTCTTTGACCCTGCTACAAGATTCATTCTTCATCTTTCAGTAGGCTCGGAGACTAAGTGGCTAAACTTCACCTGACGGTGAATGTAGTGCTTATTTCTTGATTTACCCTCCTTATTGATGGAGTCTAAGTGGCTACACTTTTCCTAAGTAGAATAATTTTCAAATTTTATCTTGAGCCCCTTACATCCTTCTAGCAAGCCTTACTTGGCTAAGTCCGAGATCGATTAACCTGTTACACTGGTCGGCTACGACTTTCACCGCTCAGGTCACCGGTTTAACTGGTCGGCTTCGACTTTTACCGCTCAAGTCACCGGTTACACTGGTCGGCTACGACTTTCACCGCTCAGGTCACCGAATTAACTAGTCGGCTTCGACTTTCACCGCCTAGGTCACCAGTTTAACTGGTCGGCTTTGACTTTCACCGCCCAGGTCATTTGTTTAACAGCTTGGCTTCGACTTTCACCGTCTAGGTCACCAGTTAAACCGGTCGGCTTTGACTTCCACTACTCGGATCACCGGTTAAACTGATCGGCTTCGCGTTAAAGTGCTCGGACTTGTTCAAGACAACGTTGCTCAAAGGATACAAGGGCTCGGGGACTAGCTGTGGGGGATATACCCCCCGGTATCCATCAGACAAGACATGGGCCGCACCATCAGAGATGGCCTAGTCCACAAGATCATGGCATGCGGCGCACGGCACTGGTCGGCGTGTACTGCAAGGCTACAAGAAGATGTGATTTATTAGATATTGTATAATACCAAATAGGGTACTTTTCTTGTAATCCTACCCCTTTAGAGCATATAAGGAGGGGTAGGGGTCCCCTAGTCGGCATGCCCCATCCCATATGGATCCTAGGTTTAGCCTAAGGCATCTCAAAACACACGCAACATCATACGATAGCCAATACAAACCAACAGACCACAGGAGTAGGGTATTACGTCGTGCTGACGGCCCAAACCTGTCTTATTCTTGTGTCTCTGTTGCCTTCTTGTTCTTGATTACGCGCACCACTGCCGATCAATCTACCTTCATGGGATACTCCTCGGAGGACTGCCGATGATATTCTGTCGACGCTCCTGCATACATACATATGTTTAGTTTAGTTTCTTTGATAGAATTCTTGGCAATGAAATAGGGATAATTGGTTGTTTTATGTATCTGGTTTGCTCGTTCTATAGTTGCTTGTTATGTCTTCGTTCTGAGTTGGCTGCTAAACTTTTAGTGTAGTTTATTCGTTTGGGTTGTGTGTTTTGGGTTTGGGGTGTTTTCATGCTTCTAGCACTTAGTCGTGCATGCTAGCCGAGCTTATTCTGAATGGAAAGAAGTATTCGGTTTCATCCCCATCCAAGAGGAATTGGATCAACTTAGGACCCGTTAGGTTTCATCCCTATCTAAGTTAATGACACTACGTGAAAAACGGTTTGTAGCAACGGGAGAAATTCTTTGTAAGGGCGGCTGGTGATGGAGCCGCCCCTACAGTGGCGTGCTCGGGAGCCACAACACCAGCCGCCCCTACAAATGGAACAGCAGGGGCGGCTGGTGATACGAGCCGCCCCTACAAATGGGTCGGATTTGTAGGGGCGGCTCACTCACCAGTCGCCCTCGGTGTTGCTATTTGTAGGGGCGGCTGGTGATTGAGCCATCCCTACAAATGCCCGGCGTCTAAATACCTACGATTTGTAGGGGCGGCTCAATCACCAGCCGCCCCTACAAATGACCCACATATAAAACAAACTACAACACCTTCTTCCTCCTCGGGTCACTCGCTCCAACCCGTGAAAGAAAGGTGGGGAGGCCTTGGGCACCTCCCAAAAATTGCTCTATTAAGGGGGAAGGTTTTGGTCTCAAATCCTTTGATGGAGAGGTTGTAGAAGGTAAAAAAATGCTATTCCACACTTTTTTGAAGTTTTAATGGTTGATTAGTGAGTAATTAGAGTTTTGCTTTTCTCTCTCTTCTATGGTGCTTGAGCTACTTATGAAGCAAATTAGACCCAAGTTTTGAATGTACTTGGGTAAATTAGGTAGGGAAACAAGATCATACCTTTATTTGGTCCATATTTCTTGATTTTAGTGAATAATTAGTTAGTTTTATGGAGGTTTCATGTGCATGTGGATCTAGATCTAAGGTTTAGTTTTTTTATTAATTTTATTTTTGTAAATTTATGTTTGATGAAATTGGACTAGGGTTTGCATAAAAGATATTGGGTAAAATATAATTGTTGCTAATTGTTGTCTTTAAAATTGTTTATTGTAATCAACAAATATGTATTTTAATTATTTATGGATAAATGTGTCATTAATTAATTTTCCTCTACCATGATGTGTTTGTATGCTTCATGTAATTATATTTGATTTATATTCATATATATATATATATCTAAAGTATATACAATTATTGTCAAGTAATAATTAATTTGATTCATTTGTATATATATATATATATGAATAAGTAGTCCTTTGATATTTGTTCTGTTGTTGTTGTTGTAAAAGATAGAGTACAGGAACTCTTGGATGTATGGTTCGTTAAGGTTCAAGGCAGGTTTCCGTGAAGAGGTGGATAAATTTATTGAAGCTGCAAAGAAGCATGCAACGACGTTGACAGAGAATAATGATACAATTATTTGTCCCTATAAAGATTGTAAGAACCGTATGGCATGGACAGATGTGACTATCATCAGATCACATTTGATTATGCGATGATTTATTGAGGACTACATAGTGTGGATTCATCATGGTGAAACGGTTATTGTTAACGACAAGGATGAGGAGGAATACGACGACAAAACCCTAGAATCCCTGTCCCAATATTCAGCAGAGCTTGATGAATGAATGGATCCTGAGTTTGGCAATAAACAAGGTGGTGATGCTGGTGGTTGGGATGGTAATGATGAAGGTGGTGCCAATAATGATGGTGGAGCACGTGTCGGGGATGAAGATGATTTGGAGGACATGATTCGAGCCCTTGGACCAGAGATTTTACTAAAGAGCCCGAAAGGTCTAGAAAATTTGGAAAGGGTGACAAAAGCATCGAAGGAGACTGTGTATGGTGTTGAAAAGGGTTGTCCGACACATTGGACATTGCTATGTTTTGTGCTT